CCGTGTGCGAAACTCCGCCTTTGAAGGGGTTGCACCTTCTGCAGACGAAGCAGTGGGTCTATTTATATCCCCCCGACCCACTGGGGGTGAGGGGAGATAGGACGATAGATGTTTGATAGGAAAGAAGGAGCAAACCACACCAGAGCACCCGCCAACCACCCACAAAACACAAGTATGCACACCACAACAAAGATGCACATACCACAACACAGGCATACACACCAAAAAAGGAAGGACACAAGCCAAAAGACAGGCATACACACCAAAACAGAGGGACACACACCACTGTACAACACAGGCCTATACACCAAAGCCCAGCGGTACACAACACTACACTACTGCACACATCGCAACACAACAGCATATTGAGAGGGAGAGACTCACTTCTCAGAAGCAGTACACACAATACTACAATCTAAGTGTAAGTAACTGGAGAGACACCCACCTCGCTACAGCTTTCAGCTTCACAGACCCAAGGTCCCGCAGCACATCCACCATGGCTGGCACTGACCCTGCACGATCAGCTGGTTGCTCTGTCAGAGAGCTCAGGCTGGACGATCTCTGCACACAAGAGGACACAAATAAAACTAGACTACTCGCAGTTTACTCACCATTGCTAGTCATCTAGTCGATTGTCAGGCTGTTTTTATTTGTTTGTTTGAGTAAAGAAGCACATCGATACAATAATGGTCATTGAATAATACTGAGTATGTATCTAGCTTAAGATTATTATTGTTAATATTGCTGCTCATTTATATTATGCATGAGATTGTAAGCCTGCGTCTGTGTGCATGTGTGTGTGTGTGTGTACACGTGGTGAAACACCAAACCAATGTGCCAGGATCTGGACAATAAAGATGCATCTTATCTTATCTTATCGATTGGTGCTGGGAAAAAGTAAGTCGGACTGACAGGCAGAAACAACAGAAGGAAAGAAAAGAAGGACCTACCAGTGGTGCAAGCCAACCACCCATAATTGTCATGTTGTTGAATTAGAGGTAAGGGTGAATCAAAAAGCTAAAGTGACATTTTATACGCAGAAATCAAGTAACTTCAGTGTATGTGTTTTTAGTGTTCGTTCAAATTGTAGCAGTGACAAAATGGATGGCAAACATGAAGGGTATTATGCTGTGAGTGTGTAATTGGTTTCTTGAAAATTTTTTAACTGGCAGAAAAAAACATAGGAGCAGACACAAAAGTTGGCTAACAATATTTTATACAACTTATAGCCTAGAAGTATGGTGAAGCAGTTAAGCCCTTCCATATTGCACACATGTGTCTTGATTTTTATTGAGGACCCCCAGATCGACCTCTCCAATGGATTTTGGATTTTTTTTTTTTATGCTGACTAATTCGTTCCAGTTACACGGATCATAACACCATCAATTTCTTTTATAACTATTTGGGAGACTATATATCAAGGAAGATATATAATTTGTAAAACCTGTTAAAAGGGTGTATGCACCCTCATTAGATTTACACTGTATCATGAATAAAATTAACGTCCAATTTCCATAATAACATATGATCTTGATTCAACAATATCAAAGAATATTTTTGTATTCACTTTTGCAACACTAGCAGCATTATTTTATTTTATACCATTTGGATACATTTCAAGTAAAAGGCATTTGTGGGTAACAAAAAAAATTGCCTCATTAAAGGCAAGTGAAAATTGCTCTTTCCTTTCAAAGAAATAATGAAGACCTGGGTGACAGTTTTGAGTCTTCAGATGTACAGTTTATTCGCTTTTTGTCGGAAGTGATAGTATCTAGACAACAGCTACAGTGAACTGAGTTTTCCACCCTGACGACTGAAAGTCTTCACACATACAAAAACAAGGACACTCTCATGAACCTCAAACAGGCATAACACCCCTTGCCCTTCTCCCATGAATTAAAGAACACTCACCTCTCGCAGCATGTCGGAAAAGCTCTGAGTGCCAGGATGTGACAATTGCCGTACCAGAGGTGGGGCTAGAGGAGGTGGTGGGGCGAGAGGAGGTGGTGGGGGTGGAGGAGGCACGGGAGGAGGGGGAGGGGCAGGCAGAACCTCCCCTTGGCACAGAAACTCTGGGGATTGAGCTCTCTGGACAGATTCACTCTCACAACCAGAGTCATCCAGGGAGGATGGGGACTGGGGAAGGGGCATACCAGCTGCCTGGGACACATCACTGGGGGACTCTCCTAGGGGAAACAAGACGGTGAGATAGAATATGAGAGAGAGAGAGAGAGAGAGAGAGAGAGAGAGAGAGAGGAGAGAGAGAGAGGGAGAAAGCTATTGTCCACTAATTAGTCATTTTATAAAAAGGGCACTATTCCAGCCCTAATTCCTTAGATACTGATTAGAATTACCCCTGACTGTATTTATGAACAGGGTAAGACGTTTCTTGACCCTGAAATAAGGTTTTCAAAAGTGCCTAAATCATAGCATACTTAGCTCTTAGGATAAAACCACGGCTCATAATTCACAAAGGTATTGAGTAGTATACCAAAGGAAAAAAATCCTGACGCTTGTTAATGCCTAACGATTTCCTAGATCTAGGCTGATTTCTTTGAGATTTTGCAAGTGAAGGGTCTCTTTCTGTTCCTCTCTATGACATGAGATGAAGATACTGAGCCAAGTTCAGCCCAGAATGGTAAGTACTTGAGCTTGCGCGTCCCACCTGTTACCCAGGGCTAAAATGAAGTATTAGGCGGAAATTTATACACTCTCCTTTGGTTACAAAGTCTGCCATGGTTACTTTCAATGGTAAGACAAACCATGACATCAGCCCTTCCTGGTTAGTAATCTAGAGGGTAACAGTTGAATAGTTTTATAGAGACATTAGTGCAGAAAAAAGGGAATTGAAAACTGAAAATGAAAACCTTAAGGAGCAACTACCTAAGGAAATAAACACTTTTAAAAATATGAACACCCCCACCCCCTCCAATAAAAAGCTGTTTCCTGAACAGAAGCCTATTATGACTGAACTGACACCCAATTCTTCTAAGGCACAATAAATGGTATCTGGCCTAGAACTTGGAAGTAAGAAGGCAGTGAGAAGAGCACTGAAATTTTATTTTGCTCTCATGGATGAATTCAAACACAGGAAAAAGAAAAGCAAAAGCATTCAAATGTTGGCTTCTGAAGAAATAATAAGAAAATACTAAATCCAGAGAAAATTATGAACTCTCAAGATAAATAATGAAAAGAAACTGAAGAAAGTTTATTTCATCTGATTGGTTGCCAAGTTTCTTTCATTTTCGTCCACAAGTTTTCCTGTAACTACGTAGAAGAGACTTTACCAGACTACAAAGACTCTTTCTGGAAAATATATGGGAAACAAGAAGTAACAGTAAGGGACCAAGAGGGAAAAACCACTTTTGGAAAAGAAGATCAGTCAAGACAATGGGTAGAGCATTTCAACAGTCTCCTGAACAAACCACCACCAAGTAACCCACCAAACATCCTGCCAGCAAGAAATGAGTTACCAATCTGCTGTGATGCTCCATCAAAACAAGAGATTATGGAAGCCATTAAGAAGCTGAACAACCGTAAAGTGGCCGGTCCTGATCAGATTCCACCTGAGGCCCTAAAAGCAGATGCCAATGTGACAGCAGACCTCCTTCTCCCATTGTTTACCAAGATCTGGAATGAGAGCAAGTTCCCAAAGGATTTGAAAGAAGGACACCTTGTGAAACTTCCTAAAAGGGATCTCAACAACTGCAACAACTACCAAGGAATCACTCTTCTCTCAGTACCAGGTAAGGTTTTCAACAGAATCATTCTGAAGAGAATCAAGTCCGCAACGGGTCCAAGACTTCGGGAAAAACAGGCTGGTTTTCGAAAAAATCGGTCAACCACGGACAAGAATGCCACGCTGAGGATCATTGTGGAACAGTCCCTGGAGTGGAACTCCCAGTTGATCGTCAACTTTTTTGACTATGAGAAGGTCTTTGACAGTATGAGGACCAAATAACACTGTGGAAGATACTGAGACATCACGGAATCCCACAGAAGTTGGTTAACCTCATCAGGAGCATGTACGAAGGGACAAGTTGCATACATGACGGGGTTATACAGGATGGCCAGCTCACTGACAGCTTTGACATCAAGACGGTGTGAGACAGGGATATTACAATCACCTTTCCTCTTTATCTTGGCAATCGACTGGCTGATGAAGGAAACCATCAGAGGACACAAAAACAGCATACAGTGGACCCCATGAAAGGACACAGCTGGACGATCTGGATTTTGCAGATGACTTGGCGCTTCTGTCACACACTCAGGAACAGATCCAAGCAAAAACCACAATTTTAAACAGCCTATCAGAGTCCGTCGGACTGAGGATCCACTCCGGAAAGTTAAAAGTCCTAAGGATAGATGCACTACGAAAGGAGCAGGTCACAGTAGAGGGAAATATACTAGAAGACGTCGAATCCGTGACATGGAGTGACATCAAGTGACTCGCCCAGGATAGGGAAATGTGGAAAGTGTTTGTTCGTGGCCTATATCCTGATCCAGGGTGAAAAAGGCAATGATGATGACATAGAAAAGAACCACCTCTGATCCCAAACAGCCCGAAAATTACCCCTCGCATGGAGCCCGATTTCCAGCCCAAAGAGCAGCAGACGACTGGTATTGCTAATATATTGTCCAGCACACATATAGCCATTTTTTCATATAATATTCTTTGCATTTAAAACTTGTACATATAGTGAAATTTATATATGACAAAAAGGTGTCCACACCTCACCGATTTCTTTATAATGTGTGTGCTACACTATCAACCAGTCTATCTGTGACATTGCTACAAATCCATGTACATACCTGTGACAGTCTTGTTCAAGCTGGACGTTTCCTGTGCCATGACCAGCTGGGCAATCTGACGCCTAAGAGCAGCCAATTCTTCCTCCATCTCCGACATCCTGGTGCTGGAGGCATCGTTGGTGGAGGCTAAGCTCGATGTTGAGGACAGGTTGTGGTTGGGTGTGGAGGTGAGCAGACCCCCAACCGCCCCAAGCACAGCAGTCGTCGAGCTCCTCTCGAACTCAACATCATCCTCACCCTCTGAGCTCATACGCCTGCAACAGATAACAGATTAACGAAGGCATATAACTTGTGTTGATATTTTACACGTTGACTTTTGTCTTAATTTTAACGAGTCGAGAGTCGAGCCATGGAACACAAAATTAATTTAATGTTTAATTTGGTTAATGTTGATGTTTTTATGCCCACATCAACACAATTTAGGTAATTTAGAAGGTGGCCTTTGACCCTGCCTGTCAGTGTTACAACATCCCGGCAGCAAGACCAAGATAATAAAAATTCATCCCACTCAGGAACCCAACTTGGGTCACATGTGTGCGAGGGTAATGGCCCGAACCACTACACCACAGACGGTATAAAATCTGTGAACACCCTTAATGAAAAAGATGGGATCATGATGTGTAGTGCACATGTGCTGCTGCAGACACGTGAGTAACCATCAGAAAGCCAGATTAAGGGGAGAAAGTTCGTTACAGACAACAGATGACCTGAAGGTCAAAATTCACTGCAGATGATCAGTACAAAAAAACACACACACACACACACACAAACAATCCCAAGTCTTTCAAACAGAAGTATGGACATCTATGGCTCTATAGCTACCCAAGACCATTCCCTGTCATGCTGCTCTCACGCTCACCTGAAGTGGACAAAGTTCTCCCCCAGGTCCTCTTCCAGCCACTGGTGAATGCTGCTGGAAGAAAGGACTGAGTTCAGACTGCCGGTGCTTGGCCAGCGGGCAAGCTGGACCTCGTCACGAGGTCCTCCGAGCTGGCGCTGGGGGAAAATCATCATATGGGATGATAAAAATAAATAAAGAAAATTTGCATAGAGTGCAAATTTCCACTAAACAGCAATCTATGCACCTAGCAGTCCATATTAATATTATTAACATGAGACACAGGACAGGTTGGAGGGGCCAATCATAAACAGACTTGTGTGTAGTGAGTAATCAAGCACGCCATACATGTTGAGTGAAATCTGACACAGCATGTGCGTAGCGTGCAATCTGACACGGATTTAAGATAGTGTGTAATCTGAAATCTGCTACAACTACAACATGTGTGTAGTGAGTAAACAAAACCCGCATGTATGCACTGTGGAATCTCACACATGGTATTTGTATGTATGGTGGTGTAATCATACACAGCAACAGAACAATGTGTTATCTGATACAGCAATGCCGTGACAGACTACAGCTGTAGGTCATAATTCTGGCTCTCAGTTTGCCAATTCTCACCTGCAGGTGCAACCTCGGATCTCGTGGGGCAGGCAAGAAAGCAGCCAGCCACCTGACCAGTGTCTTTCGAGTGATCTCTCTGTGCTGGTTTCTTCTGATGCATTCACTCTGTAGAATTAAAAATAAATATGCAAAGAGATAATGAAAGCCTTGCTGATGACCAAATAGACAAACAACAAATCGTCAATATATTAATCTCACCCAAAAATGGTAAAGTAATCGACGGTCAATATGGCGCTCAATGTAGAGGTCAACTGATCAATGGAAAATACCTCAGAAAACTCACAGAGGTAATATCTCACAATGATCAATATTCTTAATCTCATTCAACAGTGGAAAAGTAACCAATGGCCAATATAAAAATGATAAAAAGATAAATGGCCAATATGTAATCCAACACAATACAGTAATATCCACGTTCAATCGTACCAGATTTTCCAACACAGTGGTCAAGTACTCAATGGCCCTCTGGAGGACCCATTGAGCATCTTCTATTACATCAGTCATGACGTCACCTGGCTCACGCTGTGCACTGAGGAGAAGAACAGAAACAGCTCTTTTAGACCAATCAAAAAAATGATGCAATGGGCAATGGCATGGATTAGAATTAGAAACTTTCCAAAGAGAAAAATGTCACATTTCAAGCCTCCTCAGGACAAACAGGACAACCTAGGAAGTCCATACAGTACAGCCTACTTTATTGTCACTTCAACATGATGTAACCATAACTTCTAAAATGGTACATACAGATGATATACTCATCATTACTGATGTCTGATTAACACCAGCACAAGCCCATATGTGTCTCATGCTATCCTGTTTGTTGGTTTTCCCCCAGTGTATGGTTATGTGTTATCATTAGTTCATGTTCTCATGTCAAGGTATATCATCACAACTAAGTGTTTCATCATAGTAATATGTGTCACGACGCAGTGGAATCAGGCGCTCGTCAATTTTTTGGCATATGGAGTTATTCTTAAAGGTATTTGTCTTGCTTTCAATTTAAGAATATCTATTTACCTTGAACAGAAGTCGAGATAATTGCAATTGAAGGAGGCGGGGGTCGCCTGGTTTCAGTAGTAAAACCTGAGAAAATGGCCGCCAATGATGAGTTATTTCTTTAGCGTGCGAGTCCGTGGAAACTGAAAATTTACATTTTTTGTGCCTTTAACCGTGTTTTTTTGGTGAAAAATTCACAAATAAATGTGTTGTATAATGGGTATGAAAGGTGTTGAGCCAAAAAACGAAAATTGAATAAAAATTCACAAACCTGCAGAAAATGCTAGTTTCTTCACATTGATTACTTTTACAAGGGCTTGACTTCACCACGCTGCCTCACATACAGATCTCACCTTCCCTACCAATCCCCTGTAGCACACTTAACTTTATCTACCAGTTCCAGATTTATTCTTTGATCATGATATAAATGCAACTTTGGATTTTCAACCCCACTTCCCAAAATCACATGACATACACACACTTTCAAGCTTTCATTCTCAAACTGTACTTCCTTTAACCCCAGCTCAGCGTATCACTCGAAGGAGATATATATATGGACAAGTGTTGAGTCTCATATTTATTAGCAAGACACAAAAAAGAAGCCTCAAGGGGAGCCATCAATCATCAATAAACATGACATACTCTACATAGTTTTAATATTTCTCAAATCATCACAGTATCAGTATCAATGCATACAGGAGCGTATTGAAGGACAGCACCCTTGTTGCAAAAAAATAAAGGAGAGGTGTGCGCCAACAGCAATGTCAAGAAACTTGCATTGATGTCAGTTTGTGGCTGTGGGTTTATAATAGTTTATTTGGTATGTTACTTTCACTTCACTATTTTTCACTTCTGTCTCATGCTCAGGTACTAGAGATCTAATAGCCATTTTCTTGTCCATTCCGTTTTACACGTAATTGACTTTATAATCCGTCGTAAAAATTAATAGTTTTTAAAAGGATTCGAGTCCGATTAGATTCTTTATCTATTCGGACTCGAGTCCGAATGAGGGTTTTATCTAGATCTATTCGGACTCGGGTCCGGAAAAAATGTTTTATTTTTAATTGAAGTGACCGTTTCTCCGAACTTTCGTGAAAATAAACTTGATCTCTATTTCTCCTAACGATTTCCGTTCTCCAGATTTTTTTGTAATTTGCGAGATTTAGGCGTCATCTTTCATTCTACCATTCTGCGGCAACGTTCCTGGACTATACTATACTTCATTTGAAAATGCCTTCAAAAGGCCTTTTTTGAATTTAGAACAATTCACTCCTAAAGCAATCCTTCAGGTAAACAAAAAAATCCCTTGCCGCCCCCACGAATCGTTCATACCTATATACACACGCACGTCACCTTTTTGTGTCATAATAGTTATGAACGAACAATAAGTGACCAAAATACTATCAATTATGTCAAGTTTCATTGACTAGAATTGTCTAAAATAACACTCTGGTCTAATTATAGTCAAGTGATAAATGAAAGACCATTTAACAGCTATTTTTAAACGCAAACTGGTCATAGGGCCTATTATGCATTAATTTAAAGTTTGTTCATAACCATTATGACACACTCTTTCGTTCATAACTATTATGACAAATTTTACGTTGGGCCCCTAAAATTTACTTATTGTTTCGTCTTTCACGTAAAGTGGTTTTCATTTATGCAGGGTTGGGTTGATTTAAATCAAGTTGATTAAATCAGTTGATTTTTTACATTTAAATCAACTTGATTTTTAAAATAAAAATCAGTGATTTAAATCACTTTTTTAAATACTTATTTTTATGAAGTTTTTACACATTTCAACATTCAGAATTCCTTTCCTTGGTTTCATAAAACAGATATAAGGTTTAGTAGACTAATATATTCATGCTTAAAAGTCTGCTTTCCCCCCTTTCACTGTAAAATAATACAGTACTCAATTTACTTTTTTTTTCCATAATTGAAATCAGAGCTGGGTTGATTTAAACCAGTTGATTAAAAATTTTTTTTAATCAAATTGATTTTTTTAAAAATAATCAGTGATTTAAATCACTTTTCAAAAAAATGTATTCAGTTTTTACATATTTAAACATTCAGAATTCCTTTCCTTGGTTTTATTAAACAATATAAGGTTTAGTAGACTATATATAATCATGCTTAAAAGTCTGCTTTCCCCCCTGTCACTGTAAAATAATACAGTTCTCAATTTACTTTTTTTTCATAATTGAAAACCAGGGTTGGGGTGATTTAAATCAGTTGATTTTTAAAAATTTAAATCAACTTGATTTTAAAAATAAAACTCAACTTGATTTAAATCACTTTTTTTTAAGTATTCTGTTTTTACATCTTTAAACATTCAGAATTCCTTTCCTTGGTTTTATAAAACAGATATAAGGTTTAGTAGACAAAATAATCATGCTTAAAAGTCTGCTTTCCCCCCTGTCACTGTAAGTAGTAAAATAATACTGTATTTAATTCACTTTTTTTTTCATAATTGAAATTAGCATTTTCTTTTTCTTTTTAGACAAACACAAGCATGCGCACACACACACATTGTAATAAAATGCAAGTTTATCTACGCATAATATTACCCCCCCCCCCCTCCTTCCTTTTAGACTGACATTTTCTTCTTTTTTTGTCTGTAGCCATAATTCACTGATATAGCAGGCTTTCTAAAATTGCAGTTGCTTTAAAAATTAAGCATTAGTTAAAATAAAGACAATGCATTTTGCACTAAAAGAACTTACTTTTAGCCACCAAAAATCCCAAACTGTTTCGACATTTTTTTTAAAATAAAAAAAATCTGATTTAAATTTTAAAATCATATGACCTTAGCAGTTGCAAGCGCCGTAAAACCTTATACTACTACTACTAAATTTTAAAATCTTGATTTAAATTTATTTTAATCGATTTTTTAAATTTTTATTTAAAAAATTAAAAAAATCACCAACCCTGCATTCATGAGACTCTTTAAAATATGATAGATTCCTCTATGTAGGGAGAATTCAAAGTTTATTTACTGAAAAACCCTTAGAATACCTTTAAAATGGTTTGTTCATAACAATTATGACAAACTTCAATTTTGACCTAAAAATTAATACATTTTGATCTGTCATTCATTTTTAAAAACTTTTATTAAATGAAACTCCCCTCATAATATGTATCTGTGTAAATGTTTTTAAAGTTAATTAACACTGAAAAGCCTTTAAAATATAAAAAATGGACAATAAATAGTTCGTTCATAACCATTACTACAAAAGTATAATACAGTAGTCTTCGCCTAAGATCCCGGTGCTTGGGAGCAAGGTAACGCGGGATCTTAGGCGAACCGGGATTTTAACCGACGAACCCAGGAAAGAATCTATGGTGACCCATGTTAAGGCTCACAATCGGTAAAATGGTCTCCCTCCACTTACAATGAGCTGACGTGACCCCTTGGTGGGTTTATGGCATATGGCGAGCAAAGAGTGGTTAACCTTGATGACCTATCACGGTGCATAGTGGCATGAGGCGAGCCATTTTCACTTATTATCCTATCATGAGTCTCAGGATCTACGATTTTCCAGTTGCCCCTCGTCTTTGCCAGTCAAAAATTTATAGCTTTCCATCTCTGACCGAACCCCCCTCCAAACCGCCTTTGTCGTCACACACCATTACATTGTGAACACACCAGTTAAAATTCAGTCTGTCTCGCAAATTCAGGAGTAGAGACAACTGCTGCAATGGTCAAGGAGGAGTTCACGGTTCGATGTGATCCCGCCAGGAGCGAACTTGTAGGCCCTACCCACCCAGCGAGTGATGCAAACTTAGGTGGCGAGCTCAGGTGTGAGTGCGATGCGTGGGGAAAACAAACGCGTCGGTCAGTTCACACCCCGGTGTGATCCCGTCTGGGGCAAACATTGTATCGCTTCATCGAGTTTTACAACATGTATGTGATCACATTCACGATAGTGGCTGAGATTTGACGCGATGGACAGTTTATTGATCTCAACTTTTTACTCTTGGTTGATCAACTGTGCCCACCAGGGATTTTTTTATAGCAAATTATGATCTGAAATACGGGATCTTAGCCGAATGCAGACCATCAGAGCGGGATCTTAGGGGTGACTCTTGTATAGTAAAAATTCTGTTTTCCTAAAACAACGGGATCTTAAGCGAACCGGGATCGTAAGCGGTGTGATCTTAGGCGGAGACTACTGTACTAATTAAAATCCACACCCATACACTTATGATAAAAATCAAAACATCAGAATGTATGCAAGGTCTATTTTGTCCTTTAGTTGGGTCAAAATTAAAAATACATCCCAAAACAACTGTAAATTACATGGAATAAGGTTTCGTTCATAACCGTTATGACACACTCACTGTTTCGTTCATAACTATTATGACAAATTTTACTTTGGGCCCAAAAAATTAACTTATTGTTCTGTCATTCATATAAAATTGTTTTAATTTATGAGACTCTCCTCAAAATAAGGTTATATGTAGGAAGAATTCAAAGTTTAATCACTGAAAAACCCTTAGAATACCTTTAATGGTTCGTTCATAACTGTATCATAACTATTATGACAAACTTCAGTTTTGACCTAAAAATTTATATTTTGACTTGTCATTTACTTTAAAATTTTATATTAAATGAAAGTTTCCTCATAATATGTATCTGGGTACATGTTTTTAATGTTTATCAACTCTGGAAAGCCCTCAGAGTACAATATGTAGTTCGTTCATGACAATTACTACAAAAGAAACATACTGATTAAAATACATGTTGTTGTTATCGATCCAGGATTAAAATACATACCCATACAATGATTAAGATTAAAATCAAAATATCAGAATGTAAGCAAGGTCTAATACATCCTCAAGTTGGGTTAAAATTAAAAATACATCCCAAAATAACTGTAAATTACATGGAATAAGGTTTCGTTCATAACCATTATGACACACTGTCATGTTCATAATATGATGACAATCCATTATGACAAGCATATTTTGGCCTCTTCTTCGCTTCTCTTTGAGTCATCAGCATGCTACTCTTCCATGTTTATGCCACCATGTAAAAGGATCATGTGGTGAAACAGAGGGAAGTCCCTCACATGATATTTTGCAAAAATATCATAAAGTGTTTGTTCATAACATTATTATGACAAACCTGGATTATCTCAATCAAAGTCATATTTAAGCAAAACCATGTGATGAAATGGAAAATTACCCTTCTGATGGATCAATGTCAAACAAATGTTTAATACCGGTCATTCCCCGAAATGATATGTTTAACGATTTGGGTTTTCTAGACCTTGGAAAGTCCGATGATGTAATTATGACACGAGTTATGAACAAACTTATAAATTTTACTCAGCAATAACATCATTAATATAAAAAAATGAAACCCTTTTAATGGACCTACGGTGTTATGATGGTGTATACTAACTATTTTCAGAGTGTGAATGCACTACTATTTGATAGTTTAAGATTAACAATATATTCTGTATTTAACATACAATTAGGTGTGCACTCAGGATGAGTAAAAAATACCCTACTTTTAGTCTATTATCTTTCTCTTAAGAGATATTATAAGATGCACACATCAATCTACTTGGTCATGCAGCTTGACCAACTTATTTCCTTGCCATACGCGCATAAAGTTTTCAGTACAAAACATATTTTACCATGAGTAGTAGCTTTTAAAAAGTCCTTTTATGCAAACACCCCCACCTTTTGGCAAAGGCTCACCTGTATCACGGCACCAAGTGTAAAAAAAATACACCCCAACCCCCTTCCCCCGGTCGTCCACACTGGTTAAGTCCCGAAAAACACATTGACCAACGCGACCGGTGTGAATGAACTTTGTTGACCCCGACAGCCGACGGTCCCCGACACACGCGCTACTCACATGTACGAGGTCATGTCATGAGATGCGAATGAGCGTTTGAAAGTTCCACTGACAGGTCTTGATGATGAGCCCGACTAACCAGAACTCAGCTAGCGGCAGAACACCGAATAGATTATTCTTAGTAGGCCCATGTCATAATTGTTACAGTAATCAGGACACCATTGGAGAATTCTGGTTTATAAAAGCGAAAGTAGATCTTGAGCGTATCCATGTAGGAATTCATAATCGATACAACGTTGATTTTAGTTGAAATAACGTGCGTGAGTCATCCACTAGATTCGGCATAGATCCTTTAGAAAGTAGCGTTCCAAGTTCCTGCCGATAAAAAGTCCAATCGGTGCTTCCAAGCAAAGGAGATTGCAGAACTTTTTATATTTTTTTCTAAGAATCGGACGCAACGACAAAAAATCGGGATACTGGCGATCGAAATCGGGAAAATCGGGATCCTTGAGATTTGGGGCAAAAAATCTGGATAAATCGGGATGAGTGGCAGGTCTGGAATAGCCTATGCTGGAAAGTCTCACCCAGGGTGAGAGGTCGATCGTATTTTTATTCTCACCCCAGGTGAGGATAGCCACTTCCTTTTATTAAAATTTTTTTAGGCCAGCTCTATTTCTCAGAACGTTCGGGAAAATAAACTTGCTCTATTTCTCCGAAACGATTTCTGTTCTTGAGATTTGTGGATAAAAGCGAATGATGTGGCCCGTGTGTGTGTGTGTGAGTGTGTGTGTGTGTGTATGTGAGTGTGCAGATACGTGAGTGTGATTGTGTGTGTTGTGTCTGTGTGAGTGTGAAATGTGTGAACCGGGGGTGGGGGAGTTTTTTTCTACATATATGCAAAGAATTTTAGCTTTTGCTGGGTGACACATCTAGATGTATAGATGCAAAATAGGTTACTGCCAAGGTCGATCGATCAGTCTTGTTTTTTCGCAGTACCTTTTGAAGGTATTTTCAAATAAAAGTATAGCCCGGGAACGTTGCCCCAACCACAACTGAAGTACTGGATATTCAGTCATTTAAAAATCCTGGCTTTAGAAATTGAATTCGATGCAAAAAAAGCTTTTCTCCCAGTCCTCGCAGATTGGCAGAATGAAAGATGACACCTAAATCTCCCATATAACAAAAAATCTCGAGATCGGAAACCGTTCGGAGAAATAGAGTTCAACTTTATTTTCCCGAACGTACGGAGAAATAGTCACTTCGAATTTATTATATATATGCCCATACCTGCCAACATTGCCTGGGCCAAAATCTGTAGTTGGACGCAAATTTTTGTCAAAAAATCTGTAGTTGACCTAAAAAATCTGTAGTTGACCTAAAAAATCTGTAGTAGGCTATATTACCTCTTGTCGCATACTTAATTTGGGACCCTTATTAATATTTTATTTTGACCCACACCAAATATGCATGATTGTGTTTGC